ACTGTGGCCCTTTGTGTAGGCATGGACAACCAGACACATGCTTTCTCTTCATCAGAATCCTCATTGCCATGAACTGTCTTTTGATCTGTTTGCCAGCAGTGTGAAATTGGTGGGGATCCAGACATGCTTTGGAGGAAGTTCTATTGTTAGCTGATTAGATTTTCACTTCACTTGAAACAAGCAAACAAATGAAGTAGGAGATGGAAATCTCATCACATTTTCATTTCAGTCCTACTAACTTACAGCTTTTGTCTTATGGTATAATATATGTCCAGCCCTCCAGCTGTAATTACTTTTTCTTTCTCATATTACTTTAAAAACCTGTTCTAAACTTTTGTGCAGAGTATAAAATACAAATTGCAAACTGTATGCCCTTTGAAAGCATGTGGGGAAAGGTAAGAATCATACTTTAGGGGTGACACATAATATGTCTTAGCCTCATGAATCCCAAATGTATCTTTTGTGTGAATTCAGTAAGCTGAAGGAGCCATTTAACATGTGTTCATCAATATCTCATATTTGTCTCACCAAAATGTCCTAGCCGAACTGAACTTTCAGTTTTTATAAGCTACTCAATGTATATTCCAGATGCTTCAAAACTAAAGTACAAAATATTACAGTTTGCAGCCACACCCTCCCTTAGTAGAAAAAAGTAGAATGTTGGAGAGAAGGACCCCTGTTCTCTGTGTGGAAGCAGGGGTCTTTCTGCAGAGGTTTGACTTGCCACCCACCCAGGAGCGGACTGACCATTTGGAAACTTGGGCACTGCCCGAGGGCCCGGTGTCGGTAGGGGGCCCCATGAGATGCCCCTGGTACTTTTTTCATAGGCTTTTTTGAGTTTGGGCAAGGGCACAGGGTCCCCATGATCCCCTATTGCCTGGGGGCCCCATGAGTTGTCAGTCCGCCCCTGCACCCACCCTTCCCCACTGGGTCACATAGCCCTATCACACTGTTCAACAAATTTTTATTTTTTGCCAGTTTTGGAAACAAAAGGATCCATTTCTTAATGAATTTCACATTCTGAGTTCAAATATAACAATGAAATTTGTCAATTGGCTCTAGTTTTTCTGTAAATGGAAAGTTTTCTACTATAGGCGTAATGACTACATAATGCACAATAATTATATAGATAGATGTCTTTCCACAAATATAAAGCAAGTGATATTGACTACATAACAAAGCCTAAATGGCATAATATATTGCATAGGATTACCAAGAAAAATTATAGCCATAAGCTAAGTTGAATCATTTTAATACTTAGGATTCTCACTAGTTTTGTCTTCAGTTTGTGTCGGTTTTGCTTCTCTTGGCTTTTCTCTTGTATTCGAGGAAAGGGCTATCTCTTACAACTGCACGTGACTACACGCTTCAGGTTCTTCCTCACTTGACTCAACCACGAAGGATTCTGGTGCTTTAGGAATTGGTAGCCCCTCTCCATGAGGAACTGGACGTATTGCCGATGGAATATTTGGATAGTGCATAGATAACTTTTTCTTCTTATTTAGCCCTTTTACAATTGGAGGCACCATACAAAAGTAACAATTACTAACATGATCTGTTGGCTCTCTCCAAATCATTGGCACAGTGAAAGGCATAGATGCCTTTTTTCCATTCAACGATTGCTCCAGTGCCGTCCCACAAGAATTGCAGCATATATGTGGTGCCCAGCTCTTGTCCTGGTCTCCTATCTTGCAGCCAAAATACAAGTTGTAGGCTTTCTTAATCATTCCTGTTATCCTCCTTTTTTGTGAGATAAAAGTTATTTCACCGCAGATATAGCAGAAATTATCTGCTTTATTCACACAAGTTCGAGGCATTACTGAGTAGCCTATATAAGCATAAAACGAAATGTAAAGACGCTGTCGAACTACAATCAGCTACAGATACTGCAGCTTTTATGCAGTGAAGTGATGCAATTAAAGGCTAATATTGCATCATCTCAGTATACATGCAATTTTCTATTAGTCACCAGTATCAATTGCGCAATATGCAGCTGAAGTTGCATCATAATTTTGAATGGCTTACGTCATTAGATGGGTGAATATATCATGGAAACTAGAGCCAATCAACATTTTTTAGGGTCATTTTCATTTTCAGCACCCCAAAATTATGTAAGATTAGCTAATGTTATGCCCAAAACTTTTTACCTGTTGAACAGTGTAATCAGCTGATCTTCTGCTTCCTGCTGATTGGACAGTTTTAGTTCTGACTTACAGGAGACCTCTGCAGAGAGATTCCACACAAACAGAAAGAATAGATAAGGGCCTTGTAAGAACAGAAGGAGGCAATCAGGAGAACATTATACAAAACAAATGCAAATGCATGGTTGAAACCTTTAAAAAAACAAGTGTGTGAATAAAGTTCAGTATTTTCAATATGAAGGTACACTGAGATCAAAAACAAGTGGGCATGATATAACACAGTGGTTAATTGGTTAGCACTTCTGCCTGGCAGCACTAGGGTCCTTGTTTTGAATCCCAACCATAGCAATACTTGCATGGAATTTCCATGTTCTCCTTGTGGATTTCCTCTGGGTACGCTGGTTTCCACCCATATTCCAAAGACATGCTGGTAGGTTAATTGTCTCTCATCTAAATTGGCTCTATTATGTGTATATATGATTGTGAGTTAGGGACCTTAGATTGTAAACTCCTTGAGGGTTTAGAACTGATGTGAATGTACAGTATATAATAACAATAACAACCTGTGCTAGGAGCAACTAGAGTGGCGATACAGCAGCTGAAAAAAATGTTGGCAACAAAAAATATATAATAAAACCAGGTGCAGTACTAATTCACCCCAAGTGTGATGCTCATAAAAAATAAATGATCATGCACAGTCCTCAAAAAAAGTCCATAATGTGCAGCTGGAAATCATAATTAACTCATATCCGTGAAGACCATGGTGCTCCAGGAGAGAAAGAGAGATCCTCCACTGTCAATGTACACAGCCTCCTACCAGAAAAGAATGACCACAAATAAGTGGTCAAGACAACGTGTAGGAAAAGGATCCCAGCAAATCTTCTTCACCGGAGATTTTCCACTGCGATTAACTCACATATGACTCATTCCACAGCATAAATGTAAAGCAGATCAAAAGGCTCCAATAATATATGTAAAAAGAGCACAAACTCCTCATTGTGTAGTATTGAATAAAATCAGAGAATTAATAAGAGTATCTCACTTACAAGCATCAAATAAAATCCAGCATGTACAATCTAGAGATGTTTCCATTCGATAAGATGGCGGCAATACGTGTCATGATGATGTCACAAGTCGTGGCTCTAACCTACGCGTTTCATCACACAAAGGGGGGAGCCTCTGACGATGTCTTTGTGTGATAAAACATGCAGACTGGAGCCACGACTTGCAACGTCATCATGCCATACATCACCGCCATCTTGTCGGTTGGAAAACATCTCTAGAATGGTTTTCAGACTATTCTCCTAAACCCTAGAGATGGTTGTTGTGCGTGAAAATCCCAGTAAGATCAGCAGTTTTTGAAATACTCAGACCAGCCCATCTGGCACCAACAACCATGCCACATTCAAAGTCACCAAAATCCCCTTTCTTCTCCATTCTGAACTTCAGCAAGTCGTCTTCACCCCATCTAGATGTCTAAATGCATTGAGTTGCTGACATGTGATTGGCTGATTAGCAATTTGTGTTACTAAGCAATTGAACAGGTATACCTAATAAAGTGGCCGGTGAGTGTAGGTGTATATTCATTCAGAATATTTTCAAAAGTCTTTGTAAGATTCACAAGCTTTACCCTATTTCCACCAACCCGAATGATCAGTCTTTGATGGATATCTACTATAACATGTACCATACACCACACTGGCATACATCGATGTCCTTGTCAAACTAGACCAATCTCAATATGACAATGGCCCTCTTGCTTTAAATACTTAATCTCATGAGCAGTGATGTTTACAATGAAGTCAAACATCTAAAACTGGTGATAGTATTGCGTCAAAGTGAACTGTTTATATGAGAACTTCACTTAAGTGGTATTTATACATCTCTTTCAGCTTGTGTTGTGAAAAGACAAGAATAGAAAAAAAAAAACATAAAAATATGTTAATTGGAGGCAAAGCAAGAAAAATACAGGAGAATGTAAAGAGAGACACAGAGTGGGAAAATAGAGGATTTTTTAATTAACAAGTTCTATCGAGAGACATTTTTTTTCAAGCTTGGGGATGAGTCATCTATCTTTAATTTAAGTTTGCTGGTGGCCAGGAAAGAGGGGGGGGGGGGGGGTTATAGACTTAATAAGAACTTAGAGCAGAAGAAAAAGAAATCATTATTTCCTAGGCTGCGATATTTCAGAAACTGTCCTCGTTTATGTGCTTTTTTGTGTACTGTCCCAATTACGCTCTTTGGAATGAAGAGTTTATGTTTAACCACTCACCTACAGGGCACTTATACCCCCTTCCTGCCCAGGCCAATTTCCAGCTTTCAGCGCTGTTGCACTTTGAATGACAATTGTGTGGTCATGCAACTCTGTACCCATATGAAATTTTTATAATTTTTTTGTGACAGATAGAGCTTTATTTTGGTGGTATTTAATCACCTCTGGGTTTTTTATTTTTTCTTAAACAAACCAAAAACCACTAAAAATTGTGAAAAAAAAAAAAGTTTTCTTAGTTTTTGTTATACAATTTTGTAAATAAGTGATTTTTCTCCTTCATTGATGTGCGCTAATGAGGCTGCAGCGATGGGCACTGATAGGCTGCACTGATGGATACTGATAGGTGGCACTGATGGGCACTGATGAGGAGGCACTGGTAGGTGGCACTGATGGGCATTGCAGGCATCACTGATGGGCACTGAAGGCAGCACACTCATATATGGCACTGATAGGTGGCACTGATAGGCGGCACTGATAGGCAGTACTGACTAGCACTGTTAGGTGGCACTGACTGGCACTGTTAGGTAGCACTGATAGGCAGCACTGATGGGCACTGATAGGTGGCACTGATGCACACTGATAGGTGGCACTGACTGGCACTGATAGGCGGCACTGACTGGCACTGATAAGTGGCACTGACTGGGAGCACTGATATGTGGCACTGACTGGCACTGATGGGTGACACTGAAAGGCAGCTCAGATGGGCACTGATATGTGGCATTGATGTGCACTGTTAGGCACTGAAATGTGGCATTGATGTGGCACTGATGGGCACTGGCAGGTGGCATGGATGAGCACTGAGAGCTGGCACTGATGGACACTGACAGGTGGTGCTGCTGGGGCTGCACAGATTATCAGAGCACACTGATCATCAGTGCTCTGATGATCAGTGTACATGTCCCCTCCAAGGAATGCCGATTACCGGCTCTCCTCTCCTCACGAGCTGTTAGCGTGACAGCTCGAGAGGAGAGAAATGCCGATAACCGGCATTTCCCTGTTTACATGTGATCAGCTGTGATTGGACACATGACTGAGCCGACATCTTCGGCTCTTTCTGTGGATCGGTGATCTGAGGGACACATCTCACCGCAGATCGCCGCGCTGTGCACTCCGGGAGCCGCACATGTGCGGTTAGAATGGGAGGATGTCAGTGTCAGTTAGTCAGTTCCCACCCAGGGTAAGTTAATGTCAGATTGCTTGTCGCACTATCACAGTCCCACTATAAATCTTTGATCACCACCATTAGTAGTATAAAAAAAAATTCCAGTGTATACGATTAGTCACAGCACATACCAATCAATGGATCCTGGCCATTGATTGAGCACTGGCACCCAGTGATCGGCTGTGAGTTTCACTGAACACAGTTCTGTGAATGTAAACTAATCAGGGAATGAAAACAACTAGATCTCCAGTAAAAGCAGCACACAGCACACACACATAAACTCTTGTTTGCACACATTTACCCCCTTGATTGCCCTAGATCTTAACCCCTTCCTGCCCAGTGTCATTAGTACAGGGATATTATTAGCACTGATTAATGTAATAATGTCATTGGTGAAGTCAGTGGCAGTTAGTCTTGTTTCCCCCTTTGCCAGTTTGTGTCAGATTGCCCGTTGCACTATTTCCTCCCGTTATAAGTCACTGATTGCCACAATCACTAGTATAAAAAAAAATAAACAAAAATTCCAGTATATATACTGTAGTTTGTACATGCTATAACTTTTACACAAACCAATCAATATACACTTATTGGGATTCTTTTTTACCAAAGACTTGTAGCAGAATACATTTTTAGTACACATTTATTAGGAGATTTAATTTTTTTTAAGGGATATGTTTTATAGCAGAAAGTAAAAACTTAAAACTGTAAACATTTTCGTTTTTTTGTCATATATATACAAAAAAATAAAAAACCCAGCGGTGATAAAATACTACCAAAATAACAAAGCTGTATATGTTTGAAAAATATATATCAATTTCATTTGCATACAGCATTGCATGACCGCACAATTTTTTAGTTAAAAATAGCACAGTGCCACGTAGCAAAAAGAGGCCTAGTCATGATGGGGTGTAAATCTTTCGGAGGGCAAGTAGTTAAATATTGTGCCACAAGGAAAAGTCTCACATACACAATCATTTTTTAAATTCTTCTATTATATATGTTTTTCTGCATACGGTGCTAACACTGCACACCTCATCTGCTTCTAATCCCTGCCCCCCTCATCCGCCACCACTGCGCCTCTTGTCCATCACACATATCTCTGAAACACCTTAACCATTTGCTGACTATGCTATAGTCGTATTCTACAGCTCAGTTGACCAGTTCTGGGAGGGCATCATATGACATCCTCCAAGAATCGCACCTCCTCCATGCAGCTGATCACAGATCACAGTAAAGGCACAATCACAATGGCCCTTTACCATGTGATCAGCTGTGTCCAATCACAGCTGATCACAATGTAAACACAGTTGTAGGTTATCAGCAGCACTTAGCTGACATTAGGTGACATCAGCGCACATCAGTGAAGGAGAAAAATTTTATAACAGAAACTAAGAAAAACATTTTTTATTTTTCAAAATGTTTGGTCTTTTTTTCGTTTGTTTAGCAAAAAAAAAAAAAAAATTAGTGATCATTAAATACCCGCAACAGAAAGCTTTATCTGTCTCAAAAAATGATAACAATTTCATATGGGTACAATGATGTATGAGCACGTAATAGTCATTGAACTTGCGACAGTACTGAAAGCTGAAAATTGGCCTTGGCAGGTAGGAGGTGAAAGTGCCCAGTAGGCAAGTGGTTAACCACCATTCATCTCTGCATCCTTTGTCCACCACTCACCTCTGTACCCCTCATCCACCATCTTCTTTGTACCCCTCATCCACAACTGCTTACCTCTGCACCCTTTTTCTACTACTGTATCAGTCAGTCCTAAACTCTGCACCCCCACTGTTCACCTCTGAATTCCCTTTACAGCACTGTAATCCTATTGCTTACCTCTGTACCCTGTTTACACCACTGTAATCCTTTTCTATCAGAAGTAACTAGCACCTCCTTTATTCATCTCTGTACCCCCTTAAATGCACTGATAACCTTTGCACCCCCATTGCTCATCTCTGCATGCCCTCGTTCCCTTACACCATTCCCTACCTCTGATTCTTTCTTGCAAGCAAATCTACCCAACACATGTGGTTGTTCTCTGTTCCTCCAGCCTTCGTTCTGAAATTACAGGTGGCAGCATGGTCAGAAATTGACTCATGGCAAAAGGGTCTGTTATGCAATTTGGGTCATGAATGTTACTTTGGGACTTGCTGGAGTAGGGAATGATTAAAATTTAAAAAAAAAAGTGTGTGTTTTTTTTTCTGAGTCCCATTTGGACGGGTTTCCTTAATTTCCTTCCTCCATAGCTACAACAGATCTTTCCAAAGTAAGTCAAATCCTCTTTTTTCATTTGTCACCTGTATTTGTGTCCTCTTTGAATCCCCTTTATTCCTGACCCAGCGACAACTCAAAATGATAGATTTTACTCTTTTCCTCTTTTCTCCTCTTTCAGTGACAGTGGTCACCAGGATAAGGCTCCATGTACATGGGACACTTCTGAACGATGGAAACTGACTGCTGGAAAACGTACCTTAAAAAATGTCTCTTTAGCTGCATTTGCATAACCCATTTATGCTCGTTTATGTGCGTTTGCGTTTAGAAGCGTTTTTTAAAGATATGCGCAGGAGAACCTCTTAAATGCTCAGAATGCACTGAAAGGTAGTAAATTATTAACTATTTCAGACTGTTTCAGAGAAATACACACAGTAGAAGCAGAGACAGCAGTATGTGTTGAGATAATTAGGTGTGAGTTGCTCATTAACAATTCTTTTGTTCCCAAGGGTGGGAAAGGTGTCTGGTGGAGTGAGTCATTAAGGTCACCTGGCAGGGGGTCTTCATGAGGAATTTGAGGTGTGAATGGTCATTAACATATCTTTTGTTTCCAAGGGTGGGAGAGGTCTGAGGTGTGATTTGGTCATTACAATGTGTGACAAGCTTGGTAGGAACATCCTGTGTTCAGTGTTTTGTCCATCTGAGTACACTGAAAATGCTTTGCATGCATTTTTCATGATGAAAAAAGGCTCTAGACTGCATCGGGAACTGGAAAAGTTAAAAAAAATGTCAGATGCAAACACTTTTAAACGACTGTAAACTCAAATGACTGTAAACGACGATGTGTACATGGACACATAGGAAAACATTAGGGAGAGTTCAGGGGCTGCTGAAAAAAATGCAGAAAAGCTCCTAAACGTGGCTTTATCAGCTACAGTGTCCATGAGTCCTAATAATGATGGGGAATCTCCCAAGCGTGGACACAGAGAGTAATAAAAAGCTGACAGGGGTTATAAACCTGCAACACTCTGTTCAAAATGAAAAAAGACTTTAGATACATTTTAAATTTGCTGGTTGTTTTACAGCACAACGCAAAGCCTTCTCTGGTTTGCTCCTGCAGGTAATTTGGTATTATTGTGTTAGAACTCGATGCAGGGAATATGTTGAAGATGGTTTAACAAAAGAATCAAGACAACTCAGTGGTAAATAATGGTGCTACAGTGATTGAAAAACTGGAAAGACTGTCACGAAGATTCAAATCTGACTCATCCATTGCAGAAGAGATACAGAAGTACGGTAATACATTTAAATCCGATTCATTAAAAAAGTTCTATGTACCGAACGAGAAATTAAATAAGGGCTTTGAGACACCAATGTTGTATGATCACACTGTCATGCTGGCTGCAGGTTGAGTTTTAGCGGTTATAACTGTATTAATTTGTTTTATTCTAAGGATAAGTTATCACAAGGAAAGAAACTCTTTAAGGGCTGATTCACTATGGGATCGCAAGGGAACGTGCAAGTTCTGCTACAGTGCATTATGACAGCCCATTCATTTGCATGGGCTGTAAAACTCACCAGACCACACACAAAGTAGTGATTGCACTACTTTTTAACCACTTATTGGCCACCCTGTAGCAGTTTTACTGCTACAGGGCGGCTGCTCTGCACAAAATCACATAAATATAAGTGATTTTGCATTTCTGGGTAGGAGGTGTGCATGCGCTGCCCTGACTGCACTGTCATTGGGTCCTGAAGATGTAATTTACCAGGTCCTGGCCAGCAATTCGGCGGAGCAGCTGACATGAGAGAGATCTCTCAACACAGATCTATCTCCTGTCAGTAGGGACATGATGCTTTTTCTCTCTCTGGAAAGCAAGGAGATATGTCATCACAGCTCAGCCAGTCAGACAGTTGGAGCTCACAAAACCAGAAGGAAGACCGGGTGAAGATGGAAGCCTCTGCAGCAGTTACAGCGTGCAGCTGAAGGGCTTTATTTTAAGGTAAGTCCTTCATAATGTGCTAGTATGTGATGCACACTAGCACATTATGACATTACCTTATGGGGGATTTTGTTTTGTTTTTTTAGGTGAGGTTTGCTACCGCTTTAATGATACAATACTTTAGAAAACTAAATGTCATCCAGTTTAACCCCCTGCCACCTCCCTGACCTTTTAAAAGGATCTAAATGCCAGTAGGCAGAGGAAGGCTTTCAGATCTTGTGAGTGCTGTGATTGGCTGTCAGAGCAGTCACATGATTAGAAGTCCCCAATCTCAAGTATGCATTAGGAGCTGCCCGTGACACTTTAATGACCATGTTGGGAGCTCACTCTCAACACAGAAAAGCCACTTCCAATGGGTGCATATATGCAGCCACTTGGCGTTAAAGCCCACCTGCCCAGTAGCTGCATGTATGCGCACAGCCAGCGGAAACAGGTTAAAAAAGCTAAAAAGAAAAAGAAAACCTATTTTTATAATAGGGAAGCAAAACTACCTAAATTCCAATTGAATGTATAAAGGTCAGGCCATATTTGGAACAAAAATGCTTGTTTAGATGTTTAAACCCCATAGGAGCCGCTGGTTTTTGGTCCCCCTATTTACCTGCACATCCAGGCAACATGCATTTTCAAACTTTTATTCAGAGTCAGTAACCAGTCCATGGGCTTGTTTTTTGTTGTTTTATTTGGGGATAAACAACTTGGATAGGGT